TTTTTTTTTTTTTTTTTTTTTTTTTTTTTTTTTTTTTTTTTTTTTTTTTTTTTGGCAAGTCCACGCATTCTTTTTCCAAAGCAGGGTGTTCTGGAGCCACTCCAGAGGCAACACCACCAGTAGGTCCAGGTGGACCCCAGGCTTGGAAGTGCTGCTGGACCACCTCCAGGATGATACTGCATCATCATCATCCTCACAGGAAGGAAAAACCAGTGGTTCGAATTCTTAGTCTCAGAGTATTTCAGATCCCTTCTTAATCCAATATATGTAGTCCCCAAAGCTTTAAAATGACAGTGTATTGCATTAGAAACAGCTCTTCTTTCTTGGTGCTGGATCTGAGCTTCTCCTGTCACCCCCTTACCCTCCAGCTCCCCTTCTCTTTCCATAACATGAGTGAGTTTGTCCAATGTCTCAGAAATCAGAAAGGAGGGGTTTGGGGAGGGTAGGGAGAACACAATAACAGAGGGATACAGGATCCATTCTCCCACTCACTTCCCTCCTTTCTCACCAAGATTAGAGACCAGTGAAGTCAGAACGAGTCACCCCTTCCCTCTTCACCACCAGTGTTCGCTAACTGAACCAGGAGTGACCCTGGACATGTGTCTTCACAGTGCAGAGGCATAGCAGCCATGGAGATTGCTGGCAGGAGCTGGGAGACAGGGAGAGAGCCTGAGGGATACTGAAGAGGGGAAAAGACACTACCAGCCCATAAGGACACACCAAGGTGGGTGAAGGGGAATGAATACCCTCCCTCCATCACAACTCATGTTACCTGGAGGCCACAAAGTTTCCTTGTTCACCTGTCACAGAGACACAAAGAACAGGCTGGCCTGAGCAGCACAACAGCAAACACCTCAGCAGGACACGGGGATCAGAGAAAGCAACAGCAAGAGTGGGCTTGAGCGTGTCATCCTTCATACCAACCACACAGGCACAAAATCACCCTTTCTTTTCTGTCTGTCACTTGGGCATGGCATTACATGCAAAGGGGCAAAGATGTCTAACCTGCCCTACTCCCTCTGCTTTAGCAAGCTCAGCTGCTGCAGGTGCACCAAAGCCCACATCCTTCCCCTCACTCAGGGCACAGGAGGAAGATGGGTTCTCCAGACTAAAGCCATGCATGGGGCACACAATCCCTTTTTCAGGTGGGAAGCAGTAAGAAAGACAACAGAAGACAGGCAGACAGAAAGAAGGCAAAGCCACCCACTACTTCACCTACTACCTGGCCTTCCTTTGCACCAATCTGAAGGTAGAAACATTTTGGGAGAGAAAAAGCACAAGGCTGAAGAGGGCTGCAGGGAAAGGCTGGCAACGCATCCCCTCCTTCCACCAGAGTTTGCTCCCAGAGAGACAGCAGGCTTCACTGCTCATGGCTGCAACAACCCACAGACATCAGGCTCTGATAATTTTATCCCAGCTCCTCCAGAGGCAGGACAGGGTTATTGGTTCTTCTCAAATCTCAGTACCTGGTTCAGACAAGATGAAGGAGTCTCAATACTCACCTCAGAGTTCAGCACTGGGAAGTGAGGATCTAATAGAAAAAACCTGCCTCTGGCTTTGCCTTTCTCCCATCTCACACACCCATGTGCTTTTGGGTTCCCTCTTGTGGTGGTTGTCTGCGGGATGGCTGTCCCCTCCATGCACTGGTTGCAGAGGTCCTACCACAGCAGTACAGGCAAGGCTGAACAGAGGGCAAGCCACTACCTTGGAAAATTACTGTGCAAAAGTCAGCTTGCTGGTGTCTGTTCCTCCAGGGACAAGAAGGAAGATTTTTAATGACAAGCATTCTAGCTCCCTAAGGATAATAAACACAGGGCTAGCCAGACAAATTAGACAGAAACATTGACTGGTTTGGCCTTAAATCAAAAAAATGTTTAAACAATTCTTGAGAAAGAGAAACAAAAAAGAATGCATTTCATCTGTAAAGCCCCTTCCTTCCACCACAACAGAAGTCTGGTTTAAATTTAATTTCCTAAGAGTAAGGAAGTAAGTCCAGAAGGCAGGCAGGGCCAGAGTCCTACAGAAGAACCTCAGCGTTGCTATTCCAGTAGGACCTTCTCCTCCAGCCCAAGGGGGTAGAAGGGAGAGACAAATCAGAGGAAGAAGAGGGGAATGATGGAGCAAATAATGGAGAAAACAACAGGCTGTACTTCAGGAATAGGAATTGCAGATACTGCAGCTGTAGACTTATCTGAAACTCCCAAGAGACAAGGGCCATATCTCAAAACTGAAAACATGACTTGCAGTGCACTAAAAATCCCCAAGGATGGCCATGCATGAGAAGGGCTGGTATTAGAAGAGAAGCTGCTCCTACTGTGGAAGATAATGAGGCACAGTCCCAGCACACAGGCCCTTCAGCCCCTGTTTCACAGGGTTCCAGTGATGCCAAAGCACCCGTGCAAAGACTGACTTGTCTTTCTCTTCTATCTCCAGCAAAGTCTGGCACTGGCCTTGTGCTACCATCACTGAGACAAGGCAAAGCCAAAGGTTCAAGAGTAGATCTTAGGCTCCCTCCTGTGAGTAAAAATGAGAAATTGCTTCTTCCTGCTATACTTTTTAGCTGCTGAATCCCACAAGGTAACACACCTGCTCTCCTCCTGCTGTCCCTGAGGAAAGCACATTCCTCTTGTGCTACAGCCTCAGTGGTACAGCTTTTATCTTGCTCAACACAGGCTCCTTCTTTCTCAGTTGGGTCTCTATTTCTCTATATTCTGCACTCAAGACCTCCACACAGTCACTTGGCACCAGGACTGTGACAAGAGTCTCTCCTGCTGCATCTACAAGTCTGGACTTAGAAAAGCCACAACTTCACTTTGGGGGAAGAGCATTCTGCCTAGAAAAGCTTCTTTCTCCACCCAGTTCCCAAATGGGCTTTCTGCCTGAGGGGAAGACACAACAAAAGTGAGAACAGTGATTTAAAAAGACCAAAAAAACCCCAATAACAAGAAAAGAGGTTCCTTCAGCTCTTTTAAGCAGGCATTATGGCACACAAGATGCAGAAGGAGCTAAGATGAACTGCATCTCAATTTGATCAGAAAAGACGTTCATTCTGTTCCAGTCTCAGCCTTATTAGGCAACCAAGTTACTTTTGTTGACATTTTCCCCTTCTCTAGAGAGGGATTAGGAGGGAAAAAGAGAGTCGTAGATAGGAATGAAGCACAAGGGTGGCACACGCCGGACAACACAAGAACACAGAGCCCTGGTGGAATTAAGGGTAAAGGAAACACCCCTGCTTTAGAACAGCTGGCCAGAAGGGTCACACTTCTTTATGCCAACGTTTTCTTCTTCCTCCTCCTCCGTATGATCTCTGCTTGGAACATGAGTCAGTCTTTCCACTGCAAGGCTAAGAGAGCAAGTTCATCGTGTTTTTCACCCTCTACCCACTGCAACCCAGGCTCTGGGCACCCTGTCAAGCCATTCGCTATGGAAGGGTGGAGACATGAATCTGCCTCTTCAATGAACCGAATCAATCCAATACAACAACAGGCCAGATCCTCACTACCCATCCTTGGCAAACTGAGCAGACACCAGCCCAAACAGCTGCAACTAGTGTCCTCCTCGACCCTCTCCCCTCTGCATGGTCTTGCCTGCATGGCCCAGGCTGCAGATGTGGGCTGCACGTACTCTCTGGACCGCATGGTGGTCCAAAAACAGTCTCTTGGCCCCAGGAGAATCTGCCCATGGCCTGTTTCTTCATGAGCTCACTCACACCCTACAAGCAGACAGATGGATCCTGTGCATTGACCAGCTTTGTTTCCTGACAACAGACATTGGTGACTCGGAACTTTGTCCTTCATCTTCTCCCTTTTACTACCCCATGGTAAGTAGGAATAGCCAGCACGTGTAAGCAGCAACTCTGCAGCAGCACAGCCTGTGGGGTTGCAGAAGCAGCCAGAGAGGCATGCAACAGTCCCACACGTATAGCACTGCTATGCAAAGCCAATGCTATCCATGGTCCTCTTGTATGACTTCCTCAAGAAGTCATCCATGCCAAGACTGAGACTGCAGCTTCTGGATCCCACCATTTCCCAAAAGCACACACAACCAAACCCAGCTATGCCCCCTTCCCCCCGACACTGGTAACAAACGCCCACGTGCACATCAAATCCATGCATGTTAGCACTCATGCACATAGGAAACCATGCACTTGCAAACACACACTCCCACCATCTGGTTGAGTGCCCTGCAGCTTATCCCAGCCCCAACAGAAGCACATACTGCAGGGGAAAACACTTCAGCTTCTGTGGGACAAGCCAGTGCAGTATCATGGGGGCAATGGGGACAGGGGTGGAAAATGAGTAAGGGGAAAAAAACAAAACAAAACAACACCAACAAAAAAATTGGCTTTCTCCTCTACTTCCCATCTGCCTGCTGCAGGATTGGTGGAGCACTGGGACAACATACAGCCCAGGACAGATGCATTAAACCTGTGGAGGGGGCTGCATTTTGGGGAGGACACCTTAGAAGCAAAGGATTTCCCTTCCCCAAAATACAGAGGTATACAACAAAACAAAAAAGCATATTGAGATGCTTCTGCACATTCACTCATCCAAAAAATGCTAGTGACACACATCAGACATGGCCACTCGCATCAGTTTGCGTCTTCTGACTCACACGCTCACTGAATAGCCCAGGCTTGCATCTGTGCTTGCTCCAATCCACAAAGGATGAGGGTGGATGGGAACAGCTGCCCACTCTCCCCATGGTACCCTCCCAGCCTCTCCTGGAGGAAAATCTGCCAGCTGGCTGCTGAGATTCTCTCCAGGTGGCAGGAGAGTTCGGAAGATGCAATAAGTCTTTATGATACTATCAGAGCAGGTCCCCAACATCTCTCCTCCTCCTGCCCAGGCCTCCCTTTGTGTGACTGAGGAATTCAGGTTCCCAGGCATCACCCTGGGATGAAGGGAAAAAGAAGAGGGAGGTAGGCAGGGCAGAGACCCCAGAGAAATGGCACACCCTGCCCACAAACAAAGGAAACAAAAGAAAGAAAAGGAACAGACGAAAACACCTGACTCTTTCCCCTCTGTTGTGAAGTTCTGATTTCCCACATGAGCCTGAGCCTCGTGGCCTCACCGAGCACCCTCCGCTTTTTGGTAGGGGTTCTCCAACAGGTAGCGGAACCGCTGGTAGTTCTTGAGCAGGTACTTGGGAGCGTACATCTGCTCCTTGGGGTCAGCAGGGGGATACTCCTGCGTAGTACCATCAAACCAGCCACCAGTCCGGATCAGCTCCCGGATATAATTGAGGTCTCGTTTATCCTCATAGTCACCCCAGCGGGGGAAGTCCCCATTCTGGGCTGACACCAGTTTGAAGTAGATACCCTCGGGGGTGAAACACCAGGAGCAGTGCCAGCCAGCAAAGTGGAGGGGGCTGCCGAGCGACCACTGCACCAGGATATGTCCCGTGCTGTTCTCATACTGCCGAAAACCAGGCATGGTGTAGTACTCACGGCGTCGCAAACGTATCCCGTCAGTAGCATAGACAGCCTGGAGCATCCCCATGGTGCAGCCTGAGACCACCTCCAAGGTGCCTGGCTGCTTCCAGAAGAAGCCATAGAGTGACTTGCGCATGTGGAAGGCGAAGGGCTCTGTCCAGCCATCATAGAGCTTGAGGAAGAGAACGCCATCACGGGCCGGGATCTCATCAGCATCATCAATGATGAAGACGTCGTCCGGGCGCAGGTTGTGGAGGCGAGAGACGCCATCCCGGGTGAGAAAGGTACGTAGGTAGTCGTCAGCAATCCAGCCATCCTGGCGGCCGCCGGGGGGAAAGTGGTCCAGAAAGACATAGAGCACCTTGTGGCGGATGTAGTCGAAGGAGCCATTGAGGAGCATCTCGCGGAACTTGAGGGGCCGCGGCTCTCCATAGGCTGTGAAGTTTGACTCGCACACCACAAAAGCGTCCACCACGTCCCCCAGCTCGTGGAAGCGGACATCCAGCAGGTCAAACTCGTGGTTGACGTTGATAGCGTTGATGACCCGCCGGGGGATCTCCCGTGGCACGAGGCGGTCCTTGGTGGGCAGGTTGGAGTACTGGACCACAGTGGGGACGCCGCAGCTGGGGCCGTGCCAGCCCGGCAAGCACACACACTCCACCCACTTGCGCCGCTTGGCTGCGCTGGCGCTCAGTGGCTTGCGAACTGGCCGCCCCGAGGCCGCGCCCTCCACTCGCTCCTCCGGCCGACCTCCCACGGGTGGCTTCTCCAACACCTTGGTGCCCGGTTTAAAGCAAACGCCACCAGCTTTGGTTCGGACAAAGTATTCTGTTGTGTCTTCTGGCAGCACGAACTCGACTTTGTGCAGCTCTTCGCTGGCTCTGCTGGGAGACAGGGGCTGGAGCAAGGGGGAGTGAGAGTACAAGGGTGTGCGGAGGAACTCTGCACCCCCTGGCTCAGGGCTGACCTGAGGTGTGACGGGGGCATTGTTCCAGAAGAAGCTGGAGACGAGGTTGGGACTAAGCGAAGCCAGCTCCCTGGGGAAGGTGACATAGGAAAGGGCCTTGAGGAAGTGCAAGAAGGAGATGAGGCAGAGACCAGCCATGCAGAGAGTCAGAAAGAGCTTATGGCGTCTCATCTTCATCCTGTGAAAGAGCCATGAAAAGGAAAGTCACATTCAATAGTTACTGAAGTGCAAAAAGTTTACCATCGTTAGAAAAACAGGTTGGGGATGGCAGAAAGCTGGTCCAAACTCAGCAGGCATCTTCAGATACTTGAACCCAGGAACTTGAATCCCCCCCACCCCCTGCCCTCTTTAGTGGGCCTTTTGCCACAGCTGGATTACACCAAACTGAACCTCTGCTAGATCAGTCACAGTCTCATAAATCCACTAAGACAAGAAAGGCACTGGCAGCGGGGTAGAAAGACGGGAAATCCAGAATAACAGGAATTCATGATCCAGTGAACTCACCGCACTTGGCAGATTTGTCCCCTATTCAAAGATGGAAACAAAATGAACATAGACCTCCTCAGACTGTGCATCACCAGAGGGTTGGGGGGAAAGGGAGAGAGGAGGAAGGGTGAGGGGGGGCCATGGTTGAAACACAACCGGTATAAGAAAGGCAGTTCTAAAGGACCGAGACCATTAAGTCAGACTGCCAGAGGCAGCCTACGCTCCCCAGATCTTCTCAGATCACACACCCTAAAAAAAAAACACGCTTGTTCCTAGGAAATGGTACCCAAGTTCACATGGGGAACTGGGAAACAAAAATAAGTTTAAGATCCTGTCACATTAACTCTTCTACCATCCTTCTCAAGTCCACTGTACCTCCAAATGCTGCCCTTTGCTTTTCATCTTCTGTGGACCAGATGCTGAGGGGTTTCTTGCATCTGGATTCAAGGTGACTAAAACAAACCCTTCACTGTCTCTGCTGGTAATACTACGCCATCATGATGGATCCGTGTCAGGCCAGGAAGAAGCCAGCAGTGCAGAGTCCTTCCCTCCAAATGCCACAAAATATTGCCTTCATCCTTCCTTACACCACCTCCCCACCTCCAGCCCAGGCAAGAAATGCAGAGCTGCTGTCAGACAGAGAAGTGATTGAAGACTATAATCCAGAAAAAGGACAAAAATAATAATAATAATAATTAAAAAAAAGCCAATCTCACACAACGCACCACTAAGGAAAAGGAGAAAAGATGTTCACCATATGCTGTTCAGGGAAAGGAAAGTTGGGGCGAAGCTAGGCATGGGAACAAGATCATCCAAGAGTCCTTCACAATCCACAGGCTGTCCTTTGCTCCCTGGAGCATGAAACCCTCCATGCAGTGACAGGCAGAAATCCCCGTGCACTCAACATGCACCACTTTGCTCCCTCCACAACACGCTCCTCCCTATGGTGGCTCTTTGCCCCAGCACAGTCTCCCTTTCCGGGGCCAAAGCTCCCAAGAGGTACTACACCTATAAAGCTTCCACATGGCACACAATGATGCCAACAATGCCCTCACAGGAGGTATTCCCTTCTTCTGAGTGCCACAGGGGAGCCGCCTCACATCCCCAGCCCCACAGGGTTGTCTCGCTCCCCTGCCCAAGGGCTCCTCAAGGCTGGCACACGGGCAGGTTGTGGGAGCAGAGGGAAGAAGCACCTATCCTGCTCCCACTGCTTCAGAGGGTATTAAATAAGACACAAAGCATGTTTACTGATTAACCTGAGGGGAATTTAATACTATCAGAAAAAGCATTTAGATAAACAGCAATCACCCAAATGAAGACATATCTGGCTCTCCACAGATGGCTCTAACAGAAACTTTGGTAGAGGGGTTGTCCACAGTTGTACCTCACAGCTCAGCAATAAGCATTTCCAGACACTTTACAGTCATGTTTTTAGTGAGAGCCACCATCCACTGACATTGTCCTCAGCGCTCGGGTGGCAGGGCAAGGAGTGCCACATCAAGCTCTGAAGGAAGGACTGCAAACCTGAAGCTGGTAGTAAAGTTACAGCATGGTCATGGAAGGGGAAAAAATGAAAAGAAAAATAAGCAAGGAAAAAAGAGACAGCTTAATTGTATTGTTTCATGTTTAGTACCGGGTTTGATAGACATAGCACAGGTCAGTGGCAGGGCAGGGTGCTGGCTCTGAGCACCCTTGGGAGACCATCTTGTCAGACAGGTGGGTAGAGAGGAAATGGTGGCTCTCCTCAGGGGGCTGCACCGGGGCAGGAGCCCACCTCTGGCACCCACCCACCACAGCTCCACAGCCTGACCTCACACACCTGGTCATGGCCCAGCTGGTGGGAGGTAGGCCATGTGGTGACCCAGCCATGAAGGGGCTGGATATTCTCCAGTTAAAAGCCATAAAGACTCATCTTGGGGCTTGCTGTCAAGCTTTGTGGGAGAAAAATAAGGGGCTGCAGAAAACCCAAGAGCATCTCATCATGTCCAGAATTGTTTTGTTTTTTTTTTTTCCCTAAGTCTCTTAATGTCTTGCAGAAGCAGCAAGATCACTTGCAAGGTAGAGGAGTATTCAGTGCCTTTTCCTTGCATGTCACCAGTTTTTGCTCTGGCTGTTGAAGTGTGGGAAGAGAAGGGCACTAGAAGCTGAAAACACTAAATTAGCCGTGACTGGCTGTCAGGAGAAACTGTGCACCACTGGTAAATGAGTACAGCTTTCTCCAGTCAGGTGTCCTATGCCTCCTCCAAGGCACTACATCCAGACATCAGGTTGCTCTCTCAGACGCTGAAACCTAGGCGAGATAAATGGCTGACCTGCTCCAATATGGTAATCCCAACGGCTGCCAGGTAACGCTGGTTTCGCTCCAGTTCCTACAGGACACATAAATGCAGGGCAGCCAGCTTCCTCTGGGCCAGCCCAGGACCGAGGGCAGGTGCTGAAGGAATTGCATAAGGCACATCATTTTCTCAGACGACTGTAATGCTCTGCATGCCACAATAAACTCCCAGACAAAAAGCCGTAACTCTTGACATCCAACAAACCGCTCCACTTTCTGAGATGTAGTGCACCGTGTCAACATAGCAGGACGCATGGTTTTAGGAAGCAAAGCATATTTTCCTCACTTGACATTTGCATACATCAGTATCTGCCAGGCTCAGCACACAGCTCTGCAGCTCTTCATCCAGTGGCACAAGGAGCCCTGGGCGCAGCTGCGCTCCCTCCCCCAGTACTGCTGCCTGTGCCTGCGAGAGCCAGGCTGGTGTGCACAGCCCCTGCAGCTCTGCCAAAGCAAGCTGACCCTGCAGTACCCTCTGCTGTTCCACTGCTGACATGTCCCAAGAGGCAATTTCCACTGCTCGAGTGGCTTTGTTAGGGAGTGAGAGCATGAATGTATTTCCTAAAAGGGGGGAAGCAAAGAAGCAAGGTGTGTCCTCTTCAAAATCTCTTCCCTGGGAACCACCTTCATTCTCACATGCCAGGGATTCCTCTGCCAGGGAGTGGAGAACACTCACGCACCCTTAAGTGAGTCAAGACCCTAAATATCATTAGTCATGTATCCCTTCCCATATCCTCTGATCAGCCCTGCAATGAAAGATGTGTCTGAGCAGGAGCTAGTTGGAGACAAAGGCCAACAGAGAAGCTGTTATTACCCCCCCCACACACACACACCAAAACATTTCTATGTAGTAGAAATGAGAAAGGAGGTACGAGTCAAGAGAGACACCTCAGTTTGTCATAAAAGAGCCCAGCTGCTCTAACACAAAGCAGCCATTAGTTACCGGGAACACAGAAAAACAGCAAGAAGAGACATTTCCCTTCAGACAATTTTGAGTGAGGAGGGGTAAAAAAGTCAACTTGATCTCCAGGAGAGTGATCAAGTTGCTGTCAGGTTAAGAACAGCAGTATAAAAAAAGCTTTAATGTTCAAGTAGAAGAAAAAAGTCAGGAGTATGGACAGTCAGCTCTATTAAGACAAAGCTCTTTAGGAAACACAAACTGCTTCAGCAACACTCACTCCTGGCAAGACAAGCTGAAAGCTTCTTTTTGTAAGGGATCCCTTTGATATTTCTGTGCTTAAAGTTCTGTGTCTACCATGCAGGTGATGGGCTTTCAGAGAAGGAGGAAAGCTAGAGGTGGTATGCACATGAGTTATCCCCAGGCACCTGTTAGCATTTTACTTTGCCATTATATCAAGTGACCAGTTGATTTATACCACCCTGAAATCATACACTTATTTTTCAGGAAGCCAAAGAGAAAGATATGCACCGGTAAGTACTGGCAGTTCACCAATCCTAATGCTCTCTTCTGGAGAACACTGGCAAGAGGCCACTAACAAGCCGCTGGATGCATGCTATCCCACACTCCATCTCATTAGGGCATGGAACGCAGGACTCCTTAGACTTCTCCCATGGTTACAGGAGAAAAGCTCCTGTGGAGAACAAGTCAGAGCAGAAGCTTCTGTTTTTCCCCAATACCAAAATGCTCATCTCCTCAGCCTAAAGTTATCCCATAACACCCATGCAGTAACATACTTGCCCATCACTCAGACACTTCAAAACAAAGCAACAATCCAAATTAAAATTGCTTTCATGTGGCAGATTGAAATTCAGTATGACTTCCTTCCTCCACTCCACACCGAGGGCTCAACTCTCTCTCTGCTCCAGCCAGAGACAAATGGGACAGGCTCCACATTTCTAAAGCACTAGATCTACCTGCCATCCCCAGGGAACAGAAATCACAACAGGCATCAGAGCCACAGTACCTCTAAACACTCTTAAAATATCAAGTTGCTTTTGTTCTGCAAATACTCACCAAAGGAGAAACTATAAAACTTGTATTTGTCTATAACCAAAACAAGCTCAGGGACAGCAGGACCGTGCTTTGCTTAATGGTAGGAAGAGAAGATCATCATCCAAGGCTGGACAGCAGAAAAAGTGTAGAGGAGCAGGATGTACCAGAAGGTAGCTAGGGCTCAGCATTTCTCTCTCGTGAAGGATGCCATGAAGTTTTCAGGGACAGCAAGCTATGAGGACGTCAGCAAGAAGTTCTGGCAGAGTCACAGCACAAGGTGGTTTGAATGTAAGCAGGCCCATATCGGCTTCCCTTCACGTTTCAAGGACGGGATACAACATTCTCCCGCGACCTTCATCAAGAGCTGCTGCCCACAGCACTAATGCAAAACAGCAATACCTCA